ATATAATTTGCAAACCTCTTCACCAAAGACTCAAAAACAGATCCTCCACCTTGGACTCCAGCTCATACTGATACTGTAAAAAAGATCAAACATAGTATCAAAGAAATTCCTTGCTTACATCTTGCTGATCCTTTTGCCTTCAAAATCGTAGAAACAGATGCTTCATAAATTAGATATGGAGGAATTCTAAAGCAGTCAATAGACAACAAAGAACAAGTTGTTCAGTTTGTCTCTAAACATTGGAATGACTGTCAAAAGAATTATTCCACCATCAAGAAGGAAATTCTTGCTATTGTTTTCTCTATATCCAATTTTTAGGGAGATCTTTTGAACCAAAATTTTTTATTAATAATTGATTGTAAGTCTGCCAAAGATGTTTTGCAAAAGAATGTTCAAAATATTGCCTCAAAACAGATTTTTGCCGGATGGCAAGCTATATTATCCGTTTTTTTATTTTGATATGGAATTCATAAATGGTGCTTCAAATTCTTTACCTGATTTTCTCACAAGAGAATTTTTATAGGGAAAATGGCTCCCAATAAACCCACTCGAAGAGACAAAGGCAAAGAAATTGTTGAATCCTCATAACAAAACCCACGGGCCTAACCAATATTAGGACCTGGCTTCAAGTAGTTCAATCTGCTGAACCACCTTTTAATATTATCACCATTTCCAACCAGGTTGACAAAATGAAACCCGCCTCTCCATCTACAAACACTTCTTTTGATATTACTAAACTATCTCACAAAGAAGCACTAAGACTTCTTGAAGTAGCTTTCAATAGTCAGCCACCAAAACAATCAGTGGTAAGTGCAGATCCCTCTCCTATAGACGGTCAAAAGGCAATAGGGAAAAGATTTTATAGTGAGGTGGTCATTCAGCCAATCAAGGTAGCCCCTCAAAAACAAAAATCTGTTTTCATTCCAAAAACTGTATTTCAAAATATAAGTACACTCGAAAACGGATTTTTCCATGAAAACCCATAAAAATTTGTTTTCTGAAAAATTTAATTATGTGCCTCATGATTTTTATAAAACAAATGAGTTTTATAAGAGAATCTTGACAGAAACAAAGTCTGCCACCATCAAACATTTCTCTAATAAAACCCACATCAATTATTTTACGGCAAGGATCCATAAAATCATTTATCCTTCCCAATGGAAACCGCATCCTACAACTATAGTGAAATTTGATGTCAAAATCACCGAACCACTTCCATACAGATCTTTATATTCATATTTTGATTACCAACAAACTTGGCAGAACACTTTCTTCAGGAAAAATGCCAACAACACTCATACCTGGCTATTTTTCTTTGAAAATTCTGATATTTGCCAAGTGCCTTTCTAGTTTATTAGATGGTGGGAACATTTTGGTTCCATTGTTGAAATCTTACACCCATGGGTGCAACCCAGTTACAAGATGTTCTCTAGCCAGTTCACACCACTTTCATAGTAAATCAGATTCCCTCAACTGATGCTCTGTTTTCTATACTTCGGAGTATCGTTGGTCATGGCATAGGACTTTGATTATAGAAAATCTGTTGATCCAAACACCATTGTCCTCATCAGAAAATTTAAGGTCAAATGGTAGGATCATTTTAAATTTTGGAATAGAGTTACTGAACAAGTAGTCACAGATTGGCTAAATAACAGAAGCTCTACCCAATTAATTCAGACAATATCACTCATTTCCTCCATGATAAAGGGTTTGTTTTATCAAAACTAGCATATGCTAAATCCCATCAGCAACTGGCAGGGATGCTAAAATAGCCCTTTCTCAATTGGAAGATTCAAGTTCTTTCCATTCTCATCATAGCGGAAACTCTAATGAAGATAACTGTTATGGCATACCAAGCATATCCGGTATCCGATGGGAAGATGTAAAGGACGAAGAAGAAGAGGAAGAAGAGAATCCTCCAGAATCATTGTACAAATTTTGAAAAGACAGCAAAGGAGCCGAAAGATGCTTATGACTGTCAACTTTCATAATTATGTCTGTCAGCTTTTATAAAAGCATACACTGATCACTGTATCACTGTACACTTTTCACTATTCACCTTTTACTCTTTACTACAGTCAGACTCCGTGAACCTTTTCTACAGTAACCTAGACGCCTTTAAAAACGGACCTCTTCCATCCGAAAGGGCACCGATCATTCTTCACATCAAATTTTCATATATTCCCAGAGTCTCTCTCTCTCTTCTCTCCGGAAAAATAAGATATTACTCTCAAAACTTTCCACATCTCATACCTGGATCCTACCTCTTGAATATCTTCACTCCTTTTCCTGAAATCCAAAATTCAGTAAGTTTCATATTCACATATCATCCCTGAAACACTTTTATGTTTCGAATCTTGTTCATGATCTGAGGATACAAAGGCTTTTATTTTCTGTAATTTGCACATGTATTTTTTATATCTCCACTTGTAATCTTTCGATATTATTTAAATATGAGTAATTTGCTTAATCCTTGCTTAATCTTTTCTTAACTACAATTTATATTACAATAATTTAATTTACGTACCCCACAATCGGCAGGTTTTACCGCCTGTGATTGGTCTTCTTACCATTTTACCCTTTTATCTTAATGCTCATTCTTTTATTTAGTTTCATATTATTTCTAACCATTGAATATTTACTTCTTGATATAGAACATATTCTTGATTTTATAAATCGTCTCAAATTCCTAAAATACGACGTTTTAAATAATCATCATCTTTATCCTCATCTTTATCGATAAACCCCAAAACCTAGGACATCCTTATGGTTCCTAAATCTACTCCTACAGTTATCGTAAGTACAATCGAAATATTGAATAAAACAACTTATGCGATAAGAATGCTATGATAGCATGTGATCACGCCAAAATATGATCTTAGAATATCAAAGCCGCGACGTTCTTGATAGGTTTGATGGGTTCATTATGGATATGAATTAGTCCTAACCATTCTAGAAAAGAAATTAACAAACAAATTATGGTCACGAAAATTGGGCCATTATATCATGCCCCTGAACCTAACCCACTATGAAAGAATCCAATCTAAGGCTTCATTTGTTTAATGAAAACCAATTTTTAAGAAATCATTTTCCGAATTTTCCAGCATTCGGACCATGAAAAATAAACTAGTTAAGGAAAACATTTTCCACTTAAAAAACACCATATGAACCCACTAGAACTTTTTTTTTATTCTTTCCCTATTCCTTAAAAATCTTTCATCCCATTTTCCCCCTGAACCTCACACACTCAGAAAACGTAAAAACAGAACTGAAACTCATAACACTATGGCATTATCAATCAAAACTCCTCACGCCGCTATGTTGGTATATTGAATATACTAGCTATCGATTGCCCATTGCCCATATTTATCATAGAACCCAGCATCAGTCGACTATCACCGAACCTCCTCGTCAGCTATTTTCATCATCTCACCAACCACTTGCCACTTCAGCCATAATATGAGTAAAGCGAATGGATAAAGGAGAATCGATAAATGAATCGGTACCGCTATGTGTAATGATCATCATTCAAATCTTGGATTCAGCATCAACACCTCGCCAAAAGACCGCCATTAGGAGCCACGAGACAAGAAACGTTAAATGGAGTGGATGGCATACAAAACGCATTCCATCAAGTTATCATGACGTAATCGCTTTCAGATGACAACAGGAAACGAAACTAACTTACACTGAGTTTTTCATAAGTTTCGTCGAGCAGGTTATGTGCTACTGAAAATCAGATTCACGGCCCGACTTGAACGAGGATAACAAATAAAGTACAAGATCAGTGAAAAAACATCCCAGCCCAATCCAACACGTGTTAACGAAAGAAATTCAACTTCAACTAAAACAGGGCAACTCAGGGAATCGGAAGTTACCTGGAAGACAAGCGAGGATGCAGCTATAATCGGAGACCAAATCAACAACAAGAGCTCCTACTAGTGCCGGTGTTCAAAATCACGGTCAGCAAACGAGTTTCAAGCGAGACTTCGTCGCTAGGAGGTCTATGGCTGCAGAACAGGGTTGGACGGAGCCGGCCCTGCAATCCTTCGGGACTTGAGCAAGCAGTGACGGCTAACGGGCGGCCTCCTCCTAGACAACCAGCAGTCCTCAGAGGACAAACTTCCTATGAATATTTTCTTTCGGAACCTAGGCTCTTGCTCTGTGATGCTTAGAAGAAGGTTCTGGGGCGGATGAGAATGGTGAGAATGGAGGGTGAATCCCGGCTATGACGGCGAGGAATCGTGGTATCAAGTGAGAATACGATGAAAAATGGTTGGGCGGAAGAAAAGACGGTCGTCCCTCTTTGCGTCCGTCTACTTTCTCCCTATAAACCCTTTTGTTACGGGTTTTGTGTACTGTCTTGTTTGCCGCTCCTTACCTCCTTCCTCTTTTGTTCCCCTCTTTTTCTCCTCCAAAATAAAATAAACTAGATTGATATGCTGACAAGTGGCGAGCTTGCAATAATGGAGATTTGGGCCAACTAAGATGCGTCATGTGGCGCGGAAAATTTCGCTGTAAAGAGAAAGATGCGGTCCAGGGTCGAACTCTATCCGGCGGGACCTAACGGGCCGGATCAATCCCTGTCAAACTGGGTTGATCCAAGTCTCTGCGATCTTTCTTAATTAACGAAGATTCTTCGAGATATCAATGAATCTTATACTGAACAATCTTAAGTAGATGGTCGTGTTGAAATTTATCAACTTTACGTTTAGAAGAATCATGCTAAATTTTTTCATATGACAAGGATAACCATCCAAATTTTTGTACTCCTCCGCATCAATGTCCATGAATTAAAGTTTGATCGAATTTCCCTAATGGAGTGAAAATCTAGGCCAACTCTCGCGAAGAAAGAGTGAAACCACAGATCAAGATAAATAAGAGGCGAAAGATGAGAAAGTTCTCAAAGGCAAATTCAAGAGAGAAATGTGTCACTCCCCAAGCGCACTCTTTGTCGACTTCATTTTCTGAACCCTAGAAATCGTTGACACTCCCTACGGTCACTCAAACACAACAGCGACGGTCGTTCGAACTGAATGCCGAGCAGAGACCCACGTGATTGACCCCTGAGTGAACGGCGGCGGTGCCGTCGCTTTCCGATCAACTCTCCTCATGAAGTCAACTCTGTAACTCGCTGTCTGGTTCGCCTCAGTGAACACTAGAACATGCGGGTACACGCCAATTGAGTCTAGACCCTTAATCGGGTCGATGACTGACTGGTAATGCGACTTCGCGGGTCCGACGTTTCTCACCGTCCTTGTCACACTCACCTTTGCCACCGAAGGCCTGAAGCTCACGCTGATCGATGGATAGTTGAGCTGGCAATCGGATATGCTCCTTATGTTCGAGCATGAGACTTTTTTTTTTAATATGAGCTCCATTTGGAAGTCGTTGAAGTTGAGCCCACAAAGGTAAGGAACGTAATCTCGAAGTTCGATGTCGTAGATGAGACCCGGGTCGACAGCCTTCGATGGGTTGATATGTCCTGCACCGGTGGCAAAAATATCCGCTGGATGGAGCGTCTGGTCCACGATGGGTCGGCCTTCCATGTTGGAGGTGGCGGCAGTGGTCATGATGGCGGACTTGATGGCCGCTGGCGACCAGTCAGGGTGCGCGCTCTTGAGCAGGGCCGCCACACCACTGAGGTGGGGGCAGGACATGGAGGTCCCGGAGATCACATTGAATGCGTTCTTCTTGTCCGTAGAATTGTCTAAAGGAAATGCCCAACCGGCGAGAATGTTCACGCCCGGGCCGATGATGTCCGGTTTTAGGATGCCTGGGCTTTGGATGTTGGGGCCACGAGAAGAGAAGTATGCTACAGCCGGGGCGACCGATCTCCTGATGTGAGTGCCTTTGAATAGAATCGTGGCCATTGGCACCGACTCCGTGCTTATGTAGCTCTTGATCTCTCTCCCTGCGACATATCTCACGTGGACGGCGGGTAGGACATGCTTATCGACCAATGTGGTGTATCCCTCAATGAGACCGTTCACAAGGATCATGGCCGCACCACCGGCATCCTTGACCTCTTGACCTTTCCCGACTGCCCCACTTCCATCGCCCCAGTCGCACACAACCACTTTCCCCCGGAGGTCCGAGCGGTTTTGTAGTGATCCAGGATCGCAGAAGGCCGAGAATTCATATCCGTCTACTCCCGGATAAACTAGGGGAAGTAGCGTCGGACGGAAGTCGTGCGGTTGGTACAAGGTCTCCCCATCGAACTCTTGCCCGTTCCCAAGCCGCGCCGTGGCCTTTATGCTGCGGTCGATGCTGCTCGCTCCCACAGTGAGAATCCACGGTGCCTCGTTTGCCAATGTGCTGTTGGATGGCCCATAATTCCCCGCAGAGCAGCTGACGAAGATGCCCTTTTGGGTGGCGGCAAATGCACCCAATGCGATCACGTCATTGTAGAACGGAAAAGATGGTCCTCCTATAGAGACGGAAATCACATCAACACCATCCTCGATGGCCGCGTCGAACCCAGCTAATATGTCGCCCTGAAGGCACCCGGAAGCACTGCAAACCTTGTAAATTGCCAAATGCGCAATAGGCGCCATGCCTATGGCCGTGCCTTTGGCATTACCGAGTGCGCCTGCATCCCTCACAAAAGCACCGGCAGCTGTGCTGGAAGTGTGTGTGCCATGGCCGTCATCATCATATGGCGGAACGGCCCGCACAACAGTGTTGCTCGAGCCGATGAAAGACCTCGCACCAATGACCTTGTTGTTGCAGGATGTGCCGTTGAAGTCGCACCTGCCCTTCCATTTGGTCGGAGGCGGAGGCATCCCCTTGTCGCTGAAGGAAGAGTGGTGGGGTAAAATCCCCGAGTCCAATACTCCAATGATCACGCCCTTGCCGAGGTTCGAGTTCTTCCAGAGCCCGACTCCTTGGTGCAAGCCCAAGAAGGCGGGGGTGTGAGTTGTGTGTAGAGAGAGCGCCTTCTCCGGACGCACGTACAAAACACCGTCCTTCTCCCCAATGGCTTTAGCTTCCTCGGCGGTCAATTTGGCCGTGAACCCGGATAGCACATGTCTGTACGAGTGAACCATTCTTTGCTCTTGGTTAGAGCCGGTTGCTGTGGTAGGTAAAAATGACCGATACAAAGTATCGAGATCCTCTGAAGTAGAGGTATGTTTGTCGGTCGGCTTTTGTACTTGGATGATATAAGTTGACAATGAGCTACTTGTATCAGCTACTGCAATAGCAGAATTAGCGGGGCAAATGCTTAGAATGCAAATGAGACCAAGAATGAAAATCGTCAAGGTGGTCGGAGACAATCTGCATTTCTGGTCTTCCATCTCGAATTTGCTGAAGAAAACAGAGAAATTTGTTTGTTGAGAAATGAAGAAATGGCGTTGGTCTCATGATCCTCTGGAAGCGAACATTGGTACTTTATTTCTTTAGAAGGAAAGGATTTTTATTTCCTGACTTGCATATGCATTTCCATGTATGAATTGAATAAGACCTATTATAACCCTCAAGGACAGGGCACCGTCCATGCGAATTTTCTAAAATAGACAATTCATTAAAGGAAATATAAATATGCAGATTTATTTTTTGGTAGGATAACGGATAGAGCCCGAAAATTACGTTGTTACCCTCCTAATAAAACGTGATACAATCTTATCCCCTAATATCAAATGAAGCAAACTTATTTGTGGCCTATTTAATACATGATTATATGCAGATTACATGCTATATAAAGAATTTTTTTTTATATTTTTTATCCAATAGGAATTCTTATTTTCCTCATGGGTACACTCAAGTTATATCGTACATAATAAATAGTTAAATTGAAAAAAAAAATCTTTTTTTAGACAAAATGGTCAATTCAGGCCAATATTGAATTAGCTTTCTAAATCCTAAATAAAATTCTTTACAAGACGAAAAACCAACCTAAGGTGTAAGGGTTAATACAAAGTTCTACAAATAGTTAAATAATTTTTTTTTTTAATGTCACACTGTAATGTGATCCATAAAAAGTACACTAAGTAAATTACTTTCCTCAAATGAGCTTCTAAACATGAAAATAAAATCTAACCAAAATCCTACGGGTAGTGCAATGTAATTTTGCATTTTTATGACTCTCAAATTGTGCACAAAAGGAAAGTAAATCTACTCAAAATGATGTAGATATACAACTTTACCTTACATGCAAATGCAATCTTAAAGTTATTTTTATGTGATTTTCTATGAAAATGGAATTTAAAACTGCTAATATGAAAGAGATTATGTATTTTTTATTTTCTATTTTCTGGTCTTCCATCTCGAATTTGCAGAAGAAACCGAGAAATGCTTTTTGCTTCTGAGTTATGTGTTGATAGTTGAACATGTAGCGCATATACATGTAGGAGAAGCGAAATGAACAAATGCATTGTTCTTATGATCCTCCAGAAGCCAATATTGGTACTTTTTCTCTTTTGAAGAAAACTATCCATATTGATTTTTATTTCCTAACATGCATACGCAATTACATGCAAAAATTCAATAAGACCTGTTATAACCCTCAACGACAGGGCACCGTCCATGTAAAATTACTAAAGTAGACTAATTCTTTAAAGGAAATATATATATTGATTTAACATGCTACACAAAGACGCACCCTAAATAAATTACGTTCTTCAAATGAGCTTCTAAACATGAAAATAAAATATAACCAAAAATCCCACAAGTAATGCAATGTAATTTTGCATTTTATGACTCTCAAATTGTGCAAGAGAGAAAAGTAAATTTACTCAAAATGATGTAGATATACAAGTTTACCTTTAATGCAAATGCAATCTTAAAGTTACTTCTATGAGAATTTCTATGAAGATTCTATTTTCATGACATGGAAATGAGGCATGTAAACCAAAATACTATCTAAACAAACTATCTATAACACTAAAATATTAATTCATGGAAGTTTCTACATTTTGTAACATGGCGTTTATGATGATGCAATTATAATATGATTACCAAAAAATTCCTAAAACTATTGCACTTATGCTAATTTAGTCATAAACCTTTTAATTGATCAATTTAGTCTTAAACATTTTGACAATTTGCCAATTGAGTCATTCTAGCCAATTTCGGTTGGAAATAACTAACTTGGACATCAGCCATCTTACATGGCATGACCGGCGCTGACGGAAATTGCTAATTGGTTAATTGTGCTAATTGGTGACAATTCTTCTATTCATTTCAACATTGGTCTATCATTTATATGATCAAAGAGTGAGTTATTTGTGCCTATATTCGCTGCAATGGGGGCTGACCTTTGTTGATTACAGATGAATTTGATATACTTTGGTGATACTTTATGGTCATTTTGATTGCCTTTGATGTTATTGTAATTGCATTTGATGAGTTGGCTCATTTGATGCTCAACCACTTAAGGTTAATTAATATCCCACAAAGAGGCATTTATGGCAAAGTGGACTGAGCATTTGACCAATTTGTTTGTAAGTTTGTTGGCATAAGGACACTAAAAGTGTTCAAAGTTTCATACGACACTCACTTTAATGCCAAAAGTTTTCAAGCAATCATTTAAGTGCCACTTTTGTGAAAAAAAATGATCACTTAAGTGTTGACGCTGATCTAAGTAGTCGGAAAATCCAACGTGTTATTATTTTATAATAAATAGTCTGATGTGCTAGCCGGAGAGAGCCACGTCATACCTAAATATTATGATGGACTTTATTTTTGTCCACAATGGATGTCAATTTTTTTTCCTTTTGCATTTTGCAGATAATTACAATTAAAGAAGAAGAAAGTTGAAGATGATGAGGTGCTGATGAAGATGAGGAAGGCAATGAAGACTTGGAAGTAGAGGTTGAAGATGAAGATGAAGATGAATTTTTAAAAGCTAAACATCGTCTTCTCTCATTTATTTGCCCTAAATTAATGAATTTGGGATAAATTCGTTTTGTTTTTCAAACCCTAATCCCTCAATCTTTCTCTCTCCTCCTCCATCTTTGGTCATGCCGACCTCTATCCCGATTCCCGTAGTGCTGCCATCGTCGTCAACTCCCATTCTTGTGCCGCCGCCCCAAGTGAAGCCAAATCTAGGCTCCGACCTCCCAAATAAGGGCTCACCCCCAACTTTACCCCATTGATCCTTGACTCCACGAACTTCTTGTAGAACACGTCGAGATCTTGCTCTTTGGACAGAGTGACCCCATCAAGGTTGAAGTCGCAGTACCCAAACTCCATGCGGACCAAAAAGTTTGCTTGTCCGGGTCAATATGCAAGACGAAATAGATTTCTCTTCGCGATTCAATTAGCCGCGGATTTGGCCATTAACTTCGACTGAGTGCTCTCTACTCAGGTTGTGCAAATTTGAGTCCATTGAAGTGGAGGTGATGCTCGATTTGAGGGGTTTTGAAGTATGTGTACGATTGATTTGATTTGTAGGAGGGTGTGGATGCCATTTAAGAGAAAAACCCAAAAACAAAAAGATCACGTACTATCATAATGCTGCCAATTTGCTCGAGCACTAAGGTATGCTATTGTCCCTCTTCTTTTCCCTCTTTGCTGATTGTCATGGGTTTTTGTGTTCACACGAATTGCCACTTCGTTTCTCTGAAATTTTAAACCTTTGATCAAGTTTTCAGCTGGGTCATTATCATCTATCTCTACCTTGGAAAGTTTATGTTTATCAAGTTTGGCGAGGAATTTTTCTTTTTTGAATTTCACCAACTCTTAACTTTTCTGTTTTGGACAAAACGATTCTATCCAACTTTTCTATTTTGAAAAATTAAAAAATATTTGAGGTGCATCAGTTGCCCGATTGAAAATTTCTTCAACTGGGTTTTGAGTTTGAATGAATCGTTATGGGTATGAAAGAGAGAGAAGAAGAGAGCCACTAAGTCTAAAGATAGAAAGATAGAGAGAGAAGATAAGTTTAACATGAGGGCCAAGTCATCTCCATGTTGGCCTTCTTTTTTCATAAGAAAAGTCAAGTAAGAATTAAAATTTTATCAAAAATGCCACATCAGATAAATCGCTGGAATTTATCATCGGAAGCACTTAAGTGATCATTTTTCTCCGATTTGACACCTAAGTGAGCCAGTAAAAACTTTTGGCACTAAAGTGAGCGTCGTATATAACTTTTGACGGGGAAATTGTCAAATCAGTCCTAAACCTATTGTACGGCGGCCAATTCAGTCCTAAACCTTTCTAATTCTTGCCAATTCAGTCCTTCCGGCCAATTTTGGCCGGTCGGCGCTGACGTGGTCGCCGGGCGGCGCCGGCTGTCCGGCCAACGCTGACGTGGCAATTTTTTTATTTTTTTTTTCAATTTTTTAATCTTTTTTTTCTGATTTCTTCCTCTGGCCGGTCCGGCGGCCGGCCAGAGGGGAGGACCGGCGAGGTCGACCTCGCCGGCCTCGCTGCTGCTGAGGCGAGGCCGACCTTGTCGTCGCCTGGTTCGCGACGGCGAGGTCTAGCCTTGCCGCTGCTGGGCGAGGCGAGGCCCAGCAGCGGCGAGGCTCGACCTTGCCGTCGCAACCCTGGCGAGGCTCGACCTCGCCGTCATGAACCAGGCGACGGCGAGGCGAGGCCCAGTAGCGGCGAGGCCGACCTCGCCATCGCCTGGGTTGCGACGGCGAGGTCGAGCCTCGCCAGATCTGGGTGAGGCTCGACCTCGCCGTCGCGACCCAAGCGTCGGGCGAGGTCGGCCTCGCCGCCGCCGGGCGAGGCGAGGTCCGGCAGCCGGCGAGGCCGACCTCGCCGTCGTCTAGGTCGCGACGGGCGAGGTCGAGCCTCGCCAGACCGGGCAAGGCTCGACCTCGCCGTCGCGAACCAGGCGACGGCGAGGTCGGCCTCGCCTCAGGAGCGGTGAGGTCGACATTGCCGGCCCTCCCTCTGGCCGGCTGCCGGTCGCCGGACCGGCCAGAGGAAGAAATCAGAAAAAAAAAAAAAAGATTAAAAAATTTTAAAAAAATAATAAAAAATTGCCACGTCAGCGCCGGCTGGCCAAAATTGATCAAAAGGACTGAATTGGCAAGAATTAGAAAGGTTTAGGACTGAATTGGCAAAATTAAAAGGTTTAGGACTGAATTGGCCGCCGTACAATAGGTTTAGGACTGATTTGACAATTTCCCCAACTTTTGACACTTCCGGTGTCCTTTTGCCTAAATTTGTTAGTAGAAGAGGTAAAAAAAGGGAAATCGCACCACCTCTACCTAAAACAAAGCAAGATGGAATAACATACATGCCAAATTCAATAAATCGGCATGACTCCACTTTAGTCTAGTTCAGTTGAAGAACAGGGTAAACAAATTGAAGAGACAGTCTAGTAGTTTTAAAAATCTTCTTTCACAATCTACATTTGGATGGGATAATATAAACAAAACGGTTCCTGTGGAAGATCTAAGTGTATGGAAGTCTCACATGAAGGTATCACTTTAATTGGGTCATTTTGTTCTTATTATGAATGTAAGCTTTGATTATGTTACTGACGTATGTCATTATTGTGAAAATTGCAGGATAATAGCAAATAGGCTAAACTCAGGAAGGTGGGTTTCCTCAGTATCCTGATTTGTGTATTTTATTTGGTGATACATATACTACCGAGTAGTATGCAACAGAAAATGCAGAATACTATGTAGTGTCGGAAGGAGATGACAATGGTGGTGGTGATGCAGAAGACTTGAAAATAGAAATTTTGTGTTGTTGTCAAACTAATTACTCTTCTAGAAAATAGAAATTTTATGTAATTATCAAACGAATTTCTATTCCGGGAACATAGATTTTGTGTAGTTATCAAACGCGTTCCTCTGCTCAGAAACTCGTTTAGGGAATGGATATAAAATTCTATTTATGGCTAGAAATTGTTTATAGAAATAGAATTGTTATTATTTACGCCCTTAGTAATATTATGACTCTCAATTTGTGAGCAAGAGGAAATTTATTCTACTCAAATGATGGGAAAAATTGTCCAAAAAGTCATACTTATTTAGTACGGCCAATTCAGTCTTAAACTTTTCAATTTTGTAATTTAGTCCTAAAGCTATAAACGATTTACCAATGTATCTATTCCAGTTAATTTTTGTCAACAATCACTAATATGACGATTTGGTTAGCACTAGCCATCCTACGTTGCACGGTCGGTACTGACGTGAATGTTATTACAATATTTTATGAATTTTTTTTATTTTTTCTCGGCGATAGCTAGCCAAAGGGAATAGGGGAAAAATAGAAAAGAAAAAGGAAAGAAAAGGAAAGGAGAAAAAAGAGAGGAAATTTGGCAATATTTTAAATTTGTAATAGATGTCTATTTGTTGTGTGTGTGTGAGCGAATGAGAGAGATGCTTTTTTTAATATTTCGAGAATGTCATCTAGTATTTGCACTACAAAAAAACATGGATTTTGCCACGAAAATTTGCGACGGGAAATTTTTCGTCGCTAATTTGCGACGAAATTTGTGACGGAATTTTTTTTCCGTCGCAAATTAGTGACGAAAATTATTTGTCGCTAATTTGCGACGGAATTTGCCACGAAATAAAAATTCGTCGCAAATTTGCGACGGATTCCAAAAATTGTATTGCATTTTCCAATCCGTCGCAAATTTGCGACGGATTTATTTTCCGTCGCAAATTTACGACGGATTCCAAAAATTATATTGCACTTTCCAATCCGTCGCAATTGCGACAGATTTATTTTCCGTCGCAAATTTGCGATGGATTTATTTTTTGTCGCAAATTTGTGACGGATTGATTTTCCGTCGCAAATTTGCGACGGATTTTACGACGGATTCCAAAAATTGTATTGCATTTTCCAATCCGTCGCAAATTTGCGACGGATTTATTTTCCGTCGCAAATTCGTTTAGCGACGAATTTTGCCAAATTTTTCGTCGCAAAATTTGTCGCTAAAACCTTGTTTTTTTGTAGTGTTCTAAAACTAAACCTAAGTTCTTCTAAGTCTAATCACGATGATTACCATGTCTCAATCTCTGGTGATAAAGATGAGGACTACATAAGGAATATACTCCATCACAAGACAAACTAAATATTGCCTAATGAAATCAATCTAATGCAAACTAACAATTATTAATTGAAATTCAAACTAAATTGTATGATTGTCACAAGTTCAAATTCAATAGAGATTGGACAATTTGCTACACGTCCAATTCTAAGAGAGATTATATATTACAAATTCAAATTAGATAAGAAGATCTATTATAAACTCAAGATATTAGATAATCTCTTAAAATGTTCTCGTCTCAAATAAGCTTTTTTAGATTCAATAGGTGCAAATCTTATCTTATTTTTTTTCAAGACTTAGATATAGATAACACAGATATCTATTTAGTTGAATATGGCGATTTCCTCCGCACGTAGCTCTTATGTATGCGTAAATATATGGGTAAATAAATTATAGCAATTTTCAAATAGATCGGAATCGGGTGGATGTATGAAATGTAAAGTCAATGTATCTATATGGGGATATCTATAGGAGATCATATAAAAGAGATATTCTTATTTAGACCTAACCAATTTGATCTAACCAATTAGATGAATTACTCCTAAAGGGTTACATCGGAATGATGAGTGAATAGAGGGCATGCATTCTATTAGAGAAATATTTAGAAGATTCCCTATATTTCCTTTAATTGATTGTAATTGATATTTTCCCTTTTAGATAGTCATCCTATAAAACCGATAAATAGGTTCGTGTACTCTTCATTTGACAATGATATATATATATATTGCTCTTAATTTTTTTTATCACATTCTTGACTTGGTATCAGAGCCCTATTGTTATTTGAGAAAGCGTCAATCGAGTCTGTTTGTAACAACGACATCCACATCAGTCATGTTTCTCCACAGTGTTCGTAATGCTAGTCACATCGGCCCATTTTGCAACAACCTCCCGTAGTTATTTGACATTCCTCTGCTGCTCTAATGAAAAAAAAAAAAAACATTACCAGACTTGCCGCCCTTAGACGAATTAGATCATGACATTTACTAATTCGTTAAATATGAGTAATGTGTCATTATATGTAAAAGTGTAGAAGCATATCTACTCAAGGTTCCGACGAAATTAGCGACGGATTTGAAAAATTGGTCAGTATAAACATTTCCGTCGCTAATTCCGTTGCAAATTAGCAACGGATTTGAAAAAATGGGCACCATGTGCCGCGAAGATCACTTCCGTCGCAAATTTGCGACGGAAAAATAAATGCGATGGAAACAAAATCTGCGACGGAAAAAAAAATCCGTCGCAAATTTGCGACGGAAAAAAAAATCCGTCGCAAATTTGCGATGAAAACAAAATCCGTCACAAATTAGCGACGAACTTAAAAGGTTGGTCGCTAAAATTTGCGACGAAATATAAAGTTCGTCGCAAATTTAATTAAAAAAAGAGCGCCCCAAAGCCGCGCCCTCACCCCCAATTTCTCTTCTCTCTCTCGCTCACTGTTCTCCCTCTCTCTCTCCCTCTTTCTCGATCGTATCAGATCTGCTTCCGCTTCTCCTTCTCCTTTTCCTCCCGCGACTCCTCCTCGCCCATGGCCTCCGGAGCCCTAGAGGCCGCGGAGCCCGAAGGGGCGGCGGCTCCTCCCCCCGTCGAGGGCAAGGAGGACTGGAGCACGGCGCGCGAGAACCTAGAGCACAACTTCCGGTGGACTCGCCAGAACCTCGCCCTCGTCGGCATCTTCGGCGTCGCCCTCCCCCTCCTCATCTACAAGGGCATCGTCCGCGAATTCGTACGTACCTCCCCCTCCCCCGATTGATTGGCGTGGCCTTTCGGATCCGTTACTTGCCGATTGATTCGATTTGATCGTTATTCGTGAAATCATGTCCGTCGTGGACCTTCGGTTCGCACGGGGTGGTCCTGATTAGCCTTCAGGTCCGACACTGATTGCAACATTTGATTGCGGTGGTGATTCGTTCATCTCCTCTGCTGACTTCTTCGGCCGGACGGGCTGCGGACTGAGAGGGGTTTGGCAATGGGGAAGATCACGAATGGACTTGTGTTGCCGATGCTTCTTTTGACAGGTACCGTCTTGTCGAAGTTTACCCGAGAATTTTGATGGTGATGGTGCATGGCAGCTCTGGGATGACAAGGTCAAGGTTATGGCGACGTAGTTGTGTTCACTAACAGAGATTCACTGAGATCGTTTTTGGTTATACGGGGGATTAGTTATTAATCGTTGTGTGCTTATGCATAGGTATAGTAATGTATCTGTTCGGTGTGATGATGGACAGTGTATCTGTTCCGTGTGACTCGGTTGTTTTAGGCTGTCATTTCGATCATGCTGCACATATATAGTATGGTATTGAAGGAATAAGCAAAATAAAGGTCCTGAGATTGAGTTATTAATGATCTATTTTGGTCGATGGGATCCTAAATGTTTTAGGTTTTGGTCAATTGTACGCATGATGCAGCAACCTTTAATAATTCAAGATGTGAGTTTAATATTGCGCTGTACTCTAACAAGCTAAGTTTCTGGAGTAATTGGTTGTGCATGTAATTTATTTAACACTTCACTCAGAGAAGTAGGAGTAGAGAAACCGCACAACAAGTCGGTGTTTGCTTTGAGTGGGTTATCATGATGAACATGATTCCCCCAGGGGTTTCTTATAATGTTACTACTTGCCTCTCTAATGGAACTTCATTTTCTTTCATGATCTCTCCAGCTGCTTTACTCAGTTCGAATCTGATATCTCTGGTCGATTTGTTGGCTTTTCTTGTCATGCAGTTCGATGGTTCAAAAGCAGGTAAAAAGCTATGCTAATGTTTCTTTTCGCAATGTATTCATCTCCTAGTCAATACCATCTTAGGAGATGTTTTGGTATTAACATTATTGTCGCTTATCTATCTTAGACTGCTTTTTATCCTTGAAACAGCACAAAAGGAAATGTTGTTTTGAGTTTACCTTTTAATCATCCTTGTCTTCTGTGGGGAGTGGAGGTGCTACTTGCCTAACTGACTTTGTATTGGACTTCACTTTCACTCTTTGGTACTTTTTTGAACAGATTGTATTCCTATGCCCCCTCTACGTCTCTTTTACTCGTGCTGTCTACGTCCCCTCTACTTGAGCCATTGAAAAAGCTAGTTATTTGAATGCAGTGATACCTGCTTAGAATCATGCATTTGTGGAAAGTCATGTGTATTGTTCTTTGCACGTTGCAGATGCTGGAAGCACTCCACTTCATTATGCCGCTTGTGGTGGAAGTGTGCAGTGTTGTCAGGTATTTTGTGGTAGCTAAAAGATAAATAGCATCCAATATCATTCTTTATTTTGTTCATCTCACTTACATAAATGTTTTTTTTTTGTGGTGGAAGTGTGCAGTTGTGGACAGTGAACCAATTTGGAACACCTAGGTTGCACCTTTGTTTCTTTACTTCTATTAGATTTATCACTGGAAGTGAACTTCAACATTTTTCCTCTATATTTCATTTACCTTCGTTGCTTTACTTAATTAAGATTGCTTGCTTCACAGTCATTATGTATCCTTTAGAAGCTGAATATATTAACATTTAATGTGGAAACAATGTCACTAATTTTGTGTCTAATTCCAGACAATTTATGTTTTGTAGAAGAACAGCTTTGAGCAATTCTGCATAAGTTATGCAAATGAGAGGTTGCAACAACATTTCAACCGGCATTTGTTAAAACTGGAGCAGGAAGTGAGCATCTCACATGGACCGTGTCTTTAGTTTTGTTCAGTATTTTATATGATGGGGATTGTCGCTAAAAGCAGGATATTCTTTTTTGACTCAAATCTGTCATTATTTATTGTGCAAGATTATTTATTCTCTCATTATGTGTACTATAAAGAAAAATATTTATGTCATTCTTGTGGAAAATGTAGATGAATGTATTTCATTTTCATATTATTATAATATTTTGATGTTATTAAGTGCTTAATCAATGTTAAATATAAATTCCAAAAATTAATTTCTCTTTTAATTAGGTTTAAAATCAAAAAATAAAATAAATGATTTTATCGTGCGATCACAAATTACAAAAGTTCGTTGCAAAAATAAAATTTCGTCGCTAATTTCGTCCCTAAACGATAATCGTCGCAGAGTTCGTTGCTAAAGAATTAATAAAAAATCGTCACTAAATTCGTTCATAAATAATGTTGTTGGCAAATGTCAAAAAATTTGGTGGCAAATTAGCAACAAATTTTGCCACGAATAAGTTCGTCGCAAATTATTGACCAAAAATTTTTTTTTGGCAAATTAGCGACGAATTTTGCGACGACTAATTAGCGATGAAATTTGCGACGAATTTTGCGACGAAATGTGCGATTAAATTTGTGACGAAATTTGTGACGAATTTTGCGACGAAATTTGCGACGAATAAAGTTCGTGGTTAATTTGCGACGAATTTTGCTACGAATTATTTGCGATGAATTTTGTGACGAATTTTGCGACGAAATTTGCGAAGAAATTTGCAACGAATTTTGCGACGAATTATTTGGGATGAAATTTGCGACGAATTTCGTTACGAATTTCTCTACGAATTTCGCGACGAAATTTGCGACGAAATTTGCGATGGATAGTGTTCGTGGCTAATTTGCGACGAATTTTGCAACGGATAGTGTTCGTGGCTAATTTGCGACGAATTTTGAAACGAATTATTTGCGACAAATTTTGCGACGAATTTTATTCCGTCGCAAATTTGCGACGGAAATTGAAATTTTCCGTCGCAAAATTTTGCGACGACCTATTAGCGACGGAATTTTTTCCGTCGCTAAATTCGCCGCAAATTCGATTTGCGACAGATTTTTCCAAATTTTTCGTCGCAAAATTCATCGCAAAAATCATGTTTTTTGGTAGTGTTGGTACTTAGTGTTTTATTGTTAACATATGTGAGAATATTTCTTAATCTTTCATTATTGGAATATTTACTCGACAATGGTCATCTAATCAGGATTAATTACAAATCAAGAGGGACTGGTATAGATCACTTTGCTTCAACTTCATTACAGATAGAAAGGAGTGATGCATTCGTATATTTCTCTTGGACTGGTATAGATCACTTCGACATTGATCCATCGGACGATAATAATATTGCTTGCATGCACCTTCTTTCCCAAGAGGTGAATATTTTCAGAGGAGACTAAAATTGTTGCTTACATAATTAGATGAAGACTCTTGCACGACTCGTCGGGTTTGAGCCTTGCTTTTTCTTTATCCAGCCTTTATAGGTAAGACTAAATCCACCTTCCCAAATCGAAGAAAGGTGCACCACCTCCGATGACAACGGAGATTCACAAGAAGCTACTTTTTCCTTTTTCTTTTTGTTGCCTAGCTCTTTGTGGTCGCATAGTAAAAATCGCAATTGAGAGACTTCATGCTTCTTGACGTGCACCCCAATTATATTACCATTTATCCAAGGAGTTAGTCGTTGGTTTATATGATTTAAGATTACTTTAGAAGCCAGATTAAGGCAATTAAGTTCATATGTAGCATGAGTGTATATATATGAAAGAGGAGCTCTTTATATAAACCTTATCGTCTTGTCAATTTCCTCTGGTTGATCAAACCCGACACATTCATTAATCATCACAACATTGGAACTCAAAATTGAACTCCTTATTGTACGACAAGGCAATTTACAAAAAGAGCTCTCAGGTATAAATATGCAGAAATGGATTAAATATATTTGGTACAACTTTTCCGTAATAACCTTTCCCGTAAATATGGGTACAACGGCTTTTATAAGATCTTGTGCAAATACCTCAAAAGTTGTAGCCAAGAAGTTGCCTCACCCATACCCAACTTACAGAACAACAAATACGCTACATTTTAACCACAGTTGCTACGCAAATATCTTTAAGTATGTCATAAATGGGTTAAAAAGAATGAAGTGTGCATGACACATTTATTTACTATTCATGTGTAGACGAGTTGATCTGTTTCTAATACATACATTATGAATCGTACACTTAAAGCTCTTAACTAGGTCGTGGTGTTCAAAATTATCAACTCTACATAATAAGAATCATGTTAAACTTTTCAAAATTTTCATATGACGAGGATAACGACCCAAATTTTAGTACTTCTCCGTGGCCATGTCTAAAATTTAAAATTTGATCGAATTTCCTAGACGGAGCGAAAATCTAAGTTAACCATCGTAAAGAAATAGTGAAATCGCGGAGGAAGATAAATTCGAGGTGAAAAATGACAAAGTTCTCGAAGGCAAATTCAAGGGGTGAAATGTATCATTCATTGCTCTCCAGATTATTCGGGACGCAAACATAGGGAGAAAAGCCAAACAAAACACCCGTCACTTCACTCCCCAAGCGCCCTCTTTGTCGAATTCGTTTTCTGAACCATAGAAATCGCGGACACTCCCTGCGATTACTGGAACTCGACAGAGACAGGGGTTCGAACCGAATGTTGAGCAGAGACCCATGTGATCGCCCCCTGACCATACAGGGTCGCCGACCTCGCTTTCAGTGTAAAGTCAACCCGGTAACTCGCTGTCTGGTTTGCCTTGGTGAACACCAGATCACGCGGGGACACGACAATTGAGTCGAGACCCACGACGGGGTCGATGACCGACTTATAACGTGAATTTGCAGGTCCTACGTTTCTCACCGTCCTCGTCACACTCAGCGTCGTCAACAAACCTTTGAACCTCAAGCTGATCGATGGATAGTTGAGCTGGTAATCGGGTATGCTCCTTATGCTCGAGCATTTGACTTTTTTCTGAACTATGAGCTCGATTGCGGAGTCGGGGTACTTGAGCCCACAAAGGTAAGGAAGGTAATCTTGCGGTGCGATGTCGTAAATGAGACCCGGGTCAACAGCTTTCGATGGGTTGACATGCCCTGCGCCGGTGGCGAAAATGTCCGCTGGATGGAGCGTCTGGTCCACGATGGGTCGGCCCTCCTTGTTGGAGGTGGCGGCGGTGGTCATGATGGCAGACTTGATGGCGGCCGGCGACCAGTCCGGGTGTGCACTCTTGAGCAGCGCAGCCACGCCACTGAGGTGGGGGCAGGACATGGAGGTCCCAGAGATCATGTTGAATGGGGGCTCCTTGCTTGTAGAATTGTCCAGAGGAAGTGGCCAAGCGGCAAGGATGTTCACGCCCGGGCCAATGATGTCCGGTTTCAGGATGCCTGGGCTTTGGTTGTTGGGGCCTCGGGAAGAGAAGTATGCTACAGCCGGGGCGACCGATCTCCCGATGATCTGCGTGCCTTTGAATAAAACCGTGGCCGTTGGTGCTGACGCCGTGCTTAGGTATTTCTTGATCGCTTTCCCCGCCTCATATGTCACATGGACAGCGGGTAGGACATGTGGATCGGCCAATGTGGTGTCTCCCGAAGTGGGACCGTTCACGAGGATCATGGCCACACCACCTGCATCCTTGACCTCTCGACCTTCCGCAACTCGCACACCTCCATTGTCGCAGACAACCACTTTCCCACGGATGTCCGAGCGCTGTTTTAGTGAACCAGGATTGCAGCGGGCCGAGGCTGTATCTCCATTTGCTCCTGGATAAACAAGGGGAAGTAGCCCCAGCACGGGAGTCGTGCGGTTGGTACAAGGTCTCCCCATCGAACTCCTGCCCATTTCCAAGCCGTGCCGTGGCCTTTATGCTGCGGTCGGTGCTGCTCGCTCCAACGGTGAAAATCCACGGTGCCTCGTTTGAAGATGTCTTGGTAATTGGCCCAGAATTCCCCGCTGAGCAGCTGACAAAGATACCCTTTTCGGTGGCGGTATATGCACCCATTGCAAGAAAGTCCACAGAGAACGCTTGGGAAATTCCTCCTAAAGAGAGGGAAAGCACATCGACGCCATCCTCGATGGCCAAGTCAAACGCAGCTAATATGTTGCTCTCACTGCAGCCAATATTATTGCAAACCTGGTAAATTGCCAAATGCGCAAGAGGCGCCATGCCTGTGGCCGTGCCATTGGCATTACCGAGCACATTAGCATCCTTCACAGAAGCACCAGCAGCTGTGCTGGCAGTGTGTGTGCCATGGCCCACACTATCATATGGCGGTCCATCGTCCATGAAAGACCTCGCACCAATGAGCTTGTTGTTGCAGGACGTGGCGTTGAAGTCGCACTTGCCCTTCCATTTGGCCGGGGGCGGAGGCACCCCCTCGCCACTGAAGGAAGGATGGTCGGGGAAAACCCCAGTGTCCAATACTCCAATGATCACGCCCTTACCGGTTCGAGTCCTTCAGAGCCCGACTCCTTGGGGCAATCCCAAGAAGTCGGGGTGTGAGTTGTGTGTAGAGAGAGCACCTTCTCCGGACGCATGTACAAAACACCGTCCTTCTCCCCAATGGCTTTAGCTTCCTTGGCCGTCAATTTGGCCGCGAACCCGGATATCACATGTCGGTACGAGCGAACCAGTCTTTGCTCCTGGTTAGAGCTGGTTGCTGTGGTAGGTAAAAAAGACCGATACAAAGTATCGAGATCCTCTGAAGCTGAGAAATGTTTGTCTGTTGGCCTTCGTACTTGGATAATATAAGTGGACAATGAACTACTTGTATCGGCTTCTGCAAGAGCAGCATTAGCAGTGGAAATGCTTAGAATGTAAACGAGACAGAGAATGAAAATCGTCGAGGTGGTCGGAGACAATCTGCATTTCTGGTCTTCCATCTCGAATTTGCGGAAGAAACAGAGAAGAAATGCTTTTCGCTTCCGAGTTGTGTGTTGATAGTAGAACTAGTAGCGTTTATATATGACCCTCCGGAAGCGAACATTGGTACGCTTTTTCTCTTTTGAAGGAAAATATTTTTATT